TCTCCAATATAGTTTCAATTGAAAAAGCGAATTCACTACCGAATGCTCAAAAAAAAAAATTTGTATAAAATTTGATTCAATCACTGATGTATGTATGCTGATTTAAATCCCTCTGCTTTCTTTCCGCAAAATATTGGTAGGTTTTTAGCCTTTGCTGGTAAAAATGGTAGAAAATATAATAGAGCTAAAAAGTTGTTATATATACCAATAAAGTAGTAAAGTGCGTGACGACAGTATCTTCAAAAATACCGATAAGCGCCGTAGAAATTTTGAAAAATATCCAAAAAATATATCTACCGAAATTAACGATAACAGTTGGAAAGTATCAAAAAAAAAAGAAAAATTCCCAGTAATCAAAAAAGAATAATACAAATGTCTGAAAAATACCACGAGAATGTCCATAATGGCCCCATGGCTTTGAAAAAATTCTGAAAAATTCTGAAAATATTCCGGAAAATTCGAAAAGGGTAAAAAAAAACTAAAAAAACGAAGATTACCGGAAATTATCAAAAAAAAATACCGATAAATTTCGACGGTTCCGAAAAGTTTTGATCACTCCAACAAAAAATAGAAAAAAATCCTCAAAGCTTCTCAAAAATATAATGAAAATTCCTATACGTGCGAAGAAAGTTTCTATGTAACCCAAAAAGTTCTTAAAAATTACAACAGCTTCCCGGAAAATTCAGAAAACATTTTCAAAAACCTCCAAAAAAATTTTAAAATTTCCGATAAATCTTGAAGAATACCCAAAAAAATTGAAAACAACAAAAAAGAAAAAATGGAATAGACTTAAAAAAAAAATACCGAAAAAAGCGGCAGTCCCAGAAATTAATGGAAAATATACAAAAAAAAAAACGATAATTGTCGAAAAATTCAGAAAGATTCTGCGAAAACACAATTCCAAATAACTCCAAGAATTCTGGAAAAATTCTCATAAACAGCTTACAAACTCGAAAAGCGCCGAAAAGGAAAAAACTCGCAAAGAGCAGCGAAAGACGCTCATAAATTCCCTAAAAACCATTATGAGTGCCAAAAAATTCCAAAAAGTCCTGAAAAATATTGCAAAAAATCCACCTCGAACCATATAGTCCAGAAAGATGAAAAAAGACATGAAAATTCTCAAAAGCTATATTAAAAATCTCAATGAGTACTGAAGAATTCTTGTAAGTTTTAAAAACTTCTTAAAAAATAAAAAATAAAAATAGTTAAATATGTTGACCAAAATATATTGTTATTGGCGTTAAATGTTTTAAACAGAGTTGCCACCTACTTATAGTAATTTTTTATTACCATATATGTTGAATAAAATGCATCTATATAAAGTTCGCAGGAAAAAAGTAATTTACATAAATACGGAACTTATTTTTGAGAAAGGCTGCCACCTAAAAACAAAATCAGAAAAAATTAAAATTTTTTAGCTAAGTAAAATATTGCAATTTGTACACTATATCAAGTATCAAAATTTTATTTTGAAGATACATGTGTGTAGTTGCCACCTAGCTGAAAAATTAATACATATTATAATAATAACAATATTTTGGCGGTAAAACATTTGCTTCTTCTCTGATATGTGGTGTGCGTCTTATTGTTGTTACACAAACGGCGAATGGATTTTATGAAAAGCGTTTTTCATGGCGAAAATACACTCAGAGGTTTTCCCTTGCCCGCCGAGTAGCGACCGCTGTTAGAACAAAAAAAAACATATTTTAATTTAGTTGTTGCTCGGGCCAGGCAGCGAACCTAGGTGCTGCGTTGCGGTAGTATGCACCTCTAATTACTCAGACACAGTGGTCGAAGAAAGAATTAAAATTCTAAATAAATTCTATATCCAAGAACAATGTTGTCATATGGGTATATTAAAAAAAGGGTTTTCAATAATTTGATTCTAAAACATTTTGCTTGGAATATGGTTTTATCAAAAAATTAAAAAAATTATTAACTACTCCAAAAATTGCTGTACGATTACTATTTGAAAATTATGAAACAAAAAAATTGCGTTTAATAATTCCGCTTTTAAAATATTGGTGCTACCGATCGGAAAAAATAAAACAAAAAAATAATATTGAAAGAAAACTCATAAAAATAAATCAAATAAGGTGGCAAGCTGCCAAAAAATTAGAAACAAAACGGCATAACTAAAGTATGTAAAATATGAAAATGCGGTTATCATACAAAATTATTGATTACACTTTTAACTAAGAATATTTTTGATAGAGCTACCACCAAAAAAAATATTTCATTTGTAAATAATATAAAAACATCAATTTTTCTTAAACACGTTTTTGATATAGTATTTTTTTTTTATTTTATTGAGCACATTATGAAAGTACATATCGCTTAAATGCTAGATATTGCACAAATTTAATACAATTTGTTTCACTCAAATGTTATTTTTTAGTCTTTATTAAATGATTGTGAAAGATAACTAAAAAAAAAATGTACATGACAAAAAAGTGGCAAGGACAAGAAATTGAACAAAATGAAATTATCTAAAAGATAAAATGGCATAGAAAAATTGCAGAAAATAAGCACATGAAATAAAAAATAAATCAACTTCAAATACAAAAATAGTGATGCGCAAAATTTATGAAATATTTATACAAAATGCGAACACGGGCTTTTGATTTGTGGCTTTTCTAGATTTTTCAACGCATTTTTTTTTCAAATTGGCAAATAAGATCTGAATTGAGCAACTTTTATTCTGCTACTTTGGCAAGCCTGCAGCTTTTCTCTTATTGGCATTGGAACCTAATGCAGTGGAACGCGATTATTGAACTAAATTTTCAAATCGCTCAACATTTTTACTATAACGCCAACAATTAAAGAGTTATCTCTGCAAGTAGCGGACAACAAACTGCAGACTAAAAAGGACATTTCAAATTGAATTTTTAATTTTTAAGCGTTTTCAGCCACTAAATTATACAATTTTTTTACGTAATTACGATTCTGCAATCGATTTCCTTAAAGGTGAGATACAAATTATGTATATAACTTTATTCTCTTGCGAGTTTATGTTACAAAATATGAGAGTACTAGGAATTCAAGGTAGCTAGGCTTATTCGTTATACGTATGTATGTACGTAAATGAGAAACTGGCGCAAAATGATGTTGAAAAAATTATTTCAGTATCCCATGCATTTCGCATTTTGTAGCATATTTCACGGCGCGCACACCGCATCGAAGCGCATCACGCGCAAGCATCTCTCCACACGCGTCACCTCCGCCTGCCTAACTCTTTACCACCGTCGTCGTTTTGTACTCCACAGCCGTGCTCATTTGGGCGCCCAAATTCTCGCGCACGAAATTGCGTATCTTCTGTAAGTGTTCATCTACTTGCGCGACACTTGGCGCCGCAGTGGTTGGAGGCGTTGTGGCGCCACGCTTACGATTGCCGCGTCGTCGCGCGGGTTTTGCGCTATGCGCGTGATAATTAAATGGACGCGGTGTGACTGCAGCCGATTGTTCATTCTCGGAGGCGGCATGCGTGGGAGCCGCATCATAGTCGATTTGCTGCTGGTGCAGCTCTGGCTGCTGATACTCTTGCTGCTCCAATTCCAGTTGCTCGTGCTGCTGTTCGTGCAGCAGCTGCGCTTGCAGTTGTTGCTGGTGGTGGTACGCTGCTGCTGATGTGCTGGCATGGCGTTCGAATGGCCGTATCGATGGCAATTTATAGCTACCGGCATAATCTGCGGCGCCTTTCTCGCTGTTGTGCGTGTAAATGACTTTGGTGTGCGTTTGGCGTGGGCTATTCTCGTTCAGCGCTTCGGCATGCGCGGCAGCCAACTCGTGTTGCTGTTCATGCTGTTGCAGCGATTGCTGTGGTGCTGCCGGTTGGTGTTGGTGGTGATGTTGTTGCAGGTCCTGCTCCTCCTCCTGCACATAGATGGGCTGATGCTGCAACGACGCCGCGTGCTGCGCCGCATGCCCATCGTAGGCGCCCTGCGGCGATATCGCCATAAAGTAGACATTTTGGTAGTGTGTGCTGCCGCCATGCGCGCCAAATTGTGCTTCCGGCACGTAGTAGTATTGCGGCACCGCCGGCTGCTGCGCGGCGTGTACAAAGTATTGTTGCTGCGGATGTTCCGCTTCAATTTGCTGCTGTGGCACATATTCTACTTCTTGCTGCTGCTGCTGGTGATGTTGATGCTGCACCAGATGATGTTGCTGCAGTGGTGCTTCATGCTGCGCATTCACTTTTCCCTTGTAGCCTTGGTAGACCTCATTGATTCCCGGATACGCAATCGGTTGTGGAGTAGCGGCCACTTGATGCGCATACGTCACTTCAGGAGAATAGCCATGCTCCTCTTCTGCTGCAGTTAGCTGCTGAGCGGTATGCTGTCCATGCGTTGGCGGTTGCAGCTCATGCGTTGGCTCAGCGTACGCTTGCGCTGGTGCGACCGCGTGCTGTTGCTGCTGTACTTGTTCTTCGTACAGATGTGCTTGTTGTTCGTGCTGCTGCTGTTGAAGCACTTGGTGTTGCTGTTGTTGGTGCTGTACATGTGACTGATGGCTTTGCTGCTCGGCTTCTTCCAATATGCGCAGGTATTGCGCCGCGCGTATCTCCAAATACTGCTGCAGCAGCGTTTGAAGATGAGAGGCATACTTGGTGGGACCGGGTATGCGCAAGACGATGACGGGCTCCTCGTAGCCGCCATGCTGTGCCTGCTGCGTTGTCGGTTGATGCGGATGGCGCGGCACATCAAGCACGTTTGGCGGCTGTTCTGCGCCATGTTCCGGTTGCTCCACATAGCTCTGCGGCTGAAGCTCATATGAGTAGGAAGGCTCAATGCTGACATCCGTCTTGGGTGGATAGTAGCCAGGCGCATCGGCGGGTATGTTCTGTTGCGAGTAAGGATAGAACACAAATTTGGGCCGCTCATAATGGTAGCCGTTGTGCGAAGAGTAGGCGCCATAGCTGCGAAAATTAAAAATAGGTTAGTAAATATCTCCAACTCAACTTCCATCCACCTTCTGCTTACACTCACCCCAACTCGCCGTCAATGGTGCGCTTGCTATTCTGCTTCTCGCTCTCGGTGGTGTTGTCGTGTTCCACCTTGATTTTGATCTTTTCGCCATGCAGTTGGAATTGCTTGTCCAGCTCTTTGATGAATTCCAAATCGTCAGCTGGTAAGTCCTTGAAGGCGGCCGTCACATCCGTTACTTTTTTGCGTTTGCTTTTCGAGTTTGACGTTGTCGCCGCGGTCACGTAGGATGTGGGCGTTTTCGTTGGTCGCTTCTTCAGTGACTGTACCTTCTTCGGGTAGCTGGCTTTTTCGGTAGTTTTTGTGGTATTATTGGAGCTGAAGGTACTATTATGGCTAATCTTCAAAGATGCTTTGGTGTCGCTGTCGGCAACAGTGGTTATTAGCACTGTGCTTGTCTCATCGCTTTGTTTTGCTGTAGTTTGCGATTCGTCCTGCTTAGCGCCATCAGCTGGTTTGCTGATAAAAAGCAATGCCAACAATAGGGGTAGCTGCAAAGGGCGAGAAGTGAATGAATTAGCAGAGAAGTCATAGTTTTGTACTGATAAAAATACTGACAACGAGACAATCAACTGCTTAAATTATGTAATCAATTAATTTTTAATAAAAACCTCCCGCCATAAATTGACTTTCTAAAAAATTAAAATGGGTACTATTTTCAATTCACATGTATGTTTTGAAATCTTTGTTTCGGTCATGTTCACTGGTTCACTTCTGCAATTCTCAACTGGCTTAATCAAATTTATTTGACTTAAAATACAAGGATGTTAAGGCATTTCCGAAGATACTATGAACCTTTGAGGAGAATACAAACCTCAGGCGAGTACTAAGACAGATATCTCTCAAGAAATGTTGGAGCAGACGAATGAAATGTAAGTTTATCCGAGAAACTCCAACTGACGGTCGCCATGAATGACGTAATTTTAATGAATCTAACTCCAAAATATTTTTAATACAGGTACAATTTACAAAGAAAATTAAGATTTTACAAAAATGATAAAATTTATTGAAAAATTTCAATTTATAAAGAAGTTATATTAATAAACAAAAAGTTCAAAACATCGGTGTGTTAAAATTTTAAATTTAGAGATGTAAAATTTACAAAGAAAAATTAAAATTTACCCAAAATGTATAGTTAAAGAAAATTTAATTTGAAAACAAAAATACATCAAAATATGCTTATTGCATAATTTTTTTCCTACGTATAGGTAAGGGCCGTGAAGGGGGTTTGATTTAGAAATAGATTTATAATTTTTTTGATAATAATCCAAATTATAATATGTCAACAGATTTGACCCAGACATACTTTTTCTTAATGGGGCTACCTCCATTTTTTTTTTGTATTTTTTATATGTAATGCGAGTTTGATTCAGTAATAGACATTTTTGAGCAGGGTTGCCAAACAACTTTGATCAAAAGGCATTTTTAAACAGCATGACCGACTAATTTCAGGAACTATTTTCATTAAGGATACCATTCAAAACTTGTTTCGGAGAGTTTTAATCCACAAGTTATTTGGAATAAAGTTGCCACTTAGTTTTTAAGTGATTTTTTTCTAATTTTTCCTGGAACAGGGCTGTCTAACTTAGAACATAATGTCTTAAATATTATATCGTGTTTATCATTTACGTTTTATCACGTTAATTGTTTTTAATAGAGTTGCCACTTAGTTGAATTGATTTGTTTTATATATCTAATAATACATAAGAATTGTTTCTAATAGTTTTAATCCGGCAGTATTTTAGAATAGGGTTGCCAGCAAGTATTACCACAAATATTAGTTTTTTTTATTGTTTGCGTACAGTTTTAGAAATATTTAAGAGGTTTTTTTTATGAGGTTGCCACCTCACTTGCACCATAGTTTTTTTATCATAACGAGTATTCCATAAAAAATAAATTTGCATACTTTGGCAGTCACTGATCCAGAAATATTTTTGACTAAGGTTGCCACTTAATTGCATTAAGATAATGTTAGAATCTCAAAATATACAAGAATGGTTCCGAATGGGAATGGGATTTGGGAACAATTTTAAAGATATGTAAGACAGCATTTTGAATGAGATTGCCACCTGTTTATTCCTTCGCTCTTTCAATATCAAGCTAACAAATATGTACGAATCATTTTGAGTGGCTTTAAAGCCGAAGTACATATTTTAGAAGAGAGTTGCCGCCTAGTTATTAACACATTTTTTCAAAATAAAATTTTGGAAAAAGTCTAGAGATAATTGAGATAGTTTTTAAACAATTTTTGATGAAAAATATTTTTTAAAAGTATTGCTAAGCCCCGAAAATCTGGCTAATGTAACTAATATAAAAATAAATTGATGTTTTCTTACGTTTCGTATGCATTTTGCTAAGTTAAATGTTTTCTTCTTTGACCAAGTGACGGCATAACTACATATGTATGCTTTAAGCTAAATACTAACACAAAATTTAAGCTTTAGATATATTTTTTCATAATTTCTTAACATTTACTACGATAATTTGTTTATCTTTTTTTGCTCATCATCAAGCAATCTCTTTTATATAAGTGACAGCACAGATCAAAGTGCATAAAAAAATAATAAAAATAAAAAAATATTGGCAACATTATCGACAATCTTCGTTATAACGAGTGGTAATAGTTTAAGAAACCATAACACACACACACGCACACTTTCACAAGCACAATGAAATTTGCAAAATTGCAAAAACAGAAAAAGTGCTCAAAAGCTAAAGATTGCCTGTTGACTGCGCGAGCTTTGGTAACAAAGCAGAATGCCGCTGCTGCTGGCTGTCGGCTGGAAGCTGCCGTTTGGCGGGGCAGCTCCATAAGCTGCAGTGACCAATAATGTTGTAACAATTTTGGCCAACTAGCTGTGGTCACACATTTTGTATTTGCGTGGTAAAGGAGTAGGTATGTATGTGAGCATGTGCATACGTTTTGCTTTTTTTTTAAATAACTTTAATTGTACGTTTGTTCGCCAGCTGAATGACTTCCTGCTTCATGTTGAAGATGCGAATGCCACTTTAAATTAACCGTTATGCTGTGCCAGTGAATGTGCGCTTATCTGTATTGGCGTAATCTTACTTATATGTACATACAGTGGGGAGTAGTGATGAGTATATGGTGATTTTTGTTATATATTTGCAAGGTTTTTAAAGTAAACAATTTTTTTGCTTCAACCAAAAACATATTAATCAAAGTTTCAAACTTTATACAGAGCTTAGAAAAATTAAACAAATTTTCATTAAAATTTTGAGCTTTTCAATCAAATATTTTTGAGTATGCAGTTTTGTAAATTTATTGATTTTAGTGAAAATTTTAAGCGGCTGTAAAATCGGGTTGATTTTTGGGAATTTTTTTTGTGACGGCTTTTTGCACTTTTTTCCATACAAGCATGAATTTCTTATGGAAGAAAATGCGCAAAACCATTTGCAAAGAAAATTAAGAAAAACAACGCCACTTTTATAAATTGCACTTGTTATATGAAAAACCCGCAAAAGTCGTCCGCAAAAAAACAAATATTAAAAATCAACGCGATTTTGCAGTCACGTAAAACTCGCACTTTATTATACTAAAATTTTTAAATTAACAAAAGTGCACACTCAAAAAAAAAAAATCTGATTAAAAATCTCAAAATTTTATGGAAAATTTATTACTTTTTCTAAGTTCTGTATGGTTAAAATATGAACCATACTTTTACGAAAAAATAACATAAAAATTTTAACTTTAAAACCTTGCAAATATTTAGCAAAAATTACCATGTACTCATCACTGCTCCCCACTGTATATACAAACATGCCTGCATATCTACCTACATACCCAGTGGGAAAAGTAGTAATGCATTACATGCGTGACAAAGAATGTAATGTATTTCTTATGAGTTCTAGATTCTGTTGCTATTTAATATCTAATCAGCATACTAATCTTAATCTATACAAAACGTCCCAAAAAATTCATATTAAATCGCATATATTTTTCGATTACTAGGCAATGCAAAATTTAATGCCCAACTTTTCTTGAGACATCGCCGTGGCGAAAAAATGCCTATTCGTATGTGAAAACTGCTGTTTTACTGATTATTTTTTCGATTACTCCACATTATATTTTCCCACTGGGTACATATCTATCTACATAAGTACATACTACATATATACATACTTATAAATATGCTGCACGTGCGAATACACACATACATATGTATATACATATGTATGTATGTGTGTAGTTCAAATTATCTGTTGTAGACGAAAATTACAATTGACACACTGTGCCAGTTTCATTTGTATCTTTTTTTATTTTTTTGTAATAATTTTAATTTCAAAGGCCGCACAGAATGTTGAAAAAAATTAGGAACATTTTAGGAAAAGCAACTAATTACATAAAGATGATTTTTAATTTCTGAAATTTCAGAGTTTTTAATACTGTTTTTACTTTTGAATTATAATTTTTTTCAACTCTCTTTTTTTAATTACTGAATTTTCAATTTTTGAATTTCTTATGCCGATTTCTTTTCTACCGGAAAATACAACCTTCTCTTTGCCCTCTACGCACAAACAGTAAAAGGAGGGCGATGAGAGGGCAACCTGTTTGTGTAGAAACGAAAATGCCCATGATACAAAAATACAAGGTAGTTTCATTTAAATTTTTTTTGATTAAAAAACAGATTATTGACATTCTCCCTGATGTCAACATTTGGCATAGCGTTGCTACATCGGAAATTTGTAGGAGAGGGTAATTTCAAATCATATATTGGATATTATTTATAAAATGGTGGATTTCATAAATGCTGAATGAAGAGGCATATAACACAAAAACTTAGTAAGGAAAATACTTTGTTTTAAAAATTAATTCAAATATTTTGTCTAAAGTCATTGATAATATAGCTAAAGAAAAAAGTTTAAGAAATAAAATACTTTTGTTGGCATGTATCCATTTTATATATTTTAAGATAAGTTTCAAAGTTTTTTAATTTTATTTAAGTAATTTATTTTAGACAAAGTATTTTTTCAAGAAAAACATTGTTAATATCCATATATTTTATATTAAAAATTTGATATATAAATAGTAGCGTTTTGAATTAAAAACATTTTTAAAATTGATTAAAACTAAATCTTTAGTGATTGGCTATGCGAAAATTTTTTTCATTTTCTTATTAACTCTGCGAATTTTGTTTTGTTTTATTTTATTATTAAGATATCTATTCCGAAAAAATGTCCTACCTAAATAAAACCGCTTTAGAATTTTTTTATCTAAACTAATGTTCGTGTTTAACAATAAATTTTGCACGTAATTTAGGTCTGTGGTTAATAGATCCCCATTAATTTTGATAAAAATTGCATTAGCCTGCTCCAAAAAACTTAAAAACTCCGGTTTTGGTTTATAAAGCCCCCCCTCCGAAAGTAAATTAACATACGTAAAATGTTGACTATTTTCAGCAGATGTTCGCATCCAAATTGACTCAAGCCCATTTTTGAAATTATGTAGCCGCCAAAGTTTTCCAGGCCA